TGCATGGTAAAATAATTTAATATTAAAATGAAATAAAAAAAATAGTTAATATAAAATGTAAAATTAATAATATATTTCATTTAAATCTGTGCAATATGATAATCAGAAAATATAAATAATTTATCATGTTTTTCTCTATGATCTTCAATAAAATAGTTACTATTTAAACAAAGATCTGCGATCAATCGTGTAATTCATCATAATAATAACTATTTATTTATTTAATTATATATAATATACAATTATTCATTCACATAAAAAATAATTATGTAGTTATATACATAATTATTTAATTACATAATATAATTGTAATTATATTATAAAGGATTAAAGACAACGAAAATATCCAAAATCTTTTTATGCAACTCTGTATGGTACGCGATTTCCGGTGCGTTGTCTTCTTGAACGTCATTTATGATATAATTAATGACGTTTAAATCTTTTTAATTATTCTTCACGTGTATATTATACAACTTGTTTTCTTTACACATCATCGACAATTATACTATAATTAATTAATGTTCGTAGTGGAAAATTATTATAACGTTTTTTCTTTTCTTATTCTTTTTTTTTTTTTAATTGGATTGTAACATATGGAATGTTTATTTGCGAATATTGTAAAAAGATAAAAAAGATAGTTTTTAGATAAGAAAATTATCTGAAAATTATATATAAATAGTTATATAATATTCAAAATATTAATAATTCCCATTGATTTATTAAGAAACAATAACTATAGAAATATAAACGAAAAAATTCAACTTATTTGTATATTCAATTTATATCTAAATGATTGCAATGGAAGAAAAATATTTTAAATTAAAAATTCCAACTAAAATTATAATAATTAATTTGAAATTTTTAATAATATTTTATTAGAATAATATATTTTATATTATTTTTAAAGAAATTAATTTGTTATAAATTTTATTTGAAATTATTAATTTGAAATTTTTAATAATATTTTATTAGAATAATATATTTTATATTATTTTTAAAGAAATTAATTTGTTATAAATTTTATAATATAAAAAAAAATTAAAAAATTTCTAGTTTTCTAATAAAAACTATACATATATCTAGAGAAAAATAATTCTGCAAAATTTATTTAAAATATAAAAATCTTTTATAAACAAAACAAAATTATGGTAATTATTTATAAATAATTTCTTTATTCAATCGATGAACATTCGATTGAATAAAGGAAATTTGAAATATCTTATATAAAAAAATCCAATATGTTACAATTCAATAATTTTTTAAATCAACTAATTTATTTTTTTAGAAAGATATATTATACTAATATTCCACGACAAGACTCGAAAAAAATATAAAATAGAGAGACTTGTCTTGAAAAGACTAAATATACTATATATGAAAATAAAAAAGATTTCTCTAAGTAATAATTTAAAAAAGAAGAACACATAACTAACTGTTCCACTTGGAAAATTATTACAATAATAAAATTCGTAGATCATTAACTTTCACTTGTCACATCGACTGTCATCATTCAATTCGAATCTCAGATTATATCTCACTTTTGAGAAAAATCGACAGTCAATCAATCAAGCAGCCAATAATCATCAATTTACAGACTATAAGATAATATCAGAAACCTATTTATTAAACAAAAAAATCCATTTTTACGTCCACATGTTGTTCATTGGAAATGAATCGTAAATAATTATAAACATTATCATAAACAATTAATTTTTTTTCTTTTTTATTTTTATTATTTTTTTTTTCGAAAAAATATTTTTCCAGTATACGTAACGTCACTTTTATCAAAATTTAAAAAATCACAATTATTCCTCTTATCGAAGAATTTATTGAAAATGCAAAAATTTTATTTACACACGTATCTCTCGATCATCGACGAAGAACATGAAAATTTTTGCAGTATTCTGTGAAATAATTATTTCAAAATTCTGTCTTATGAATTTTAAATATTCTTTAAATGTAATTAGAATATAGAAGCAAACCTGGGCAATCTGAAGAAAATTTTCAAATTATTTTTAAATTATATTTTGAAGTCATTGAGAAATTATATATTTTTGAAATAACAAAAATATTTTATAAAATATTTCATATAAAAATTAAATTAATACATTTGTAATTAACTTTTAAATAAAAAAAATATAAATTAATTGTTATTTATTATTTGGTTTTGATGAAAATAATTGATTTCTTAATATAATTTTCAATGTTTACTATTATTAATTCTCACTTTAGCACTATTATAAACTTATTTATTATTTATAATACTATTTTAAGAATAAATTTTTATTTAAGAAATAAATTCATTATTTCCACAAATAATTATTTAAAATATTTATAATAAAAACAAATCTTATCTAATTTTAATCATAAGATTCAGCACAATTTTATGATTCAATTAGATTTATAGATTGATAGAATTTTTATGCAATATAATTAGAGTTAACATTTATAATATTTTTATAATAATATAACTAATATATATTTATAATAACAACTAATATTTTGTTAAAAAAAATTTCAACAAAAAAATTTTTTTTCATTAAAGGAAAAAATTCATTGAAAAAAAATAAACATTTTTAAATATTTTTGTTCTTCTTTTGAAAATGAATAATTCTTCAACTTAATATCTTCCTAATATTCAAATTCTTTTATTTAATCAAATAAAAAAACAACATTAATTTAAAAATATTTATTAAATAATAATTAATATTATTTGAAATAATTAGTTCTAAATTATTATATAAAATAAATTTCGCCCAAGTCTGCAAAAAAAAATTAAGAAATTTATTATAAACAGTTTTTGAAGAATTTAATCCCAAAGCTAATCCTAAAATTGAACGACGTTCAAAAAAGATAGAGAAATTCGAATAAGATGAAGATGAAATGAGAGATTTATCGTCTGGCCAACAGCGAGATTTTGATGAAAATCTCCATTGAAACACAGAGCAAACATCAAGCTTACACGTGATTGCTGATATCGAAATAAATATTCGATATCGCAATATTGACGCTCTTTCGTAGCGTGATGATCCTCGTTTTCTTTATTTTATTCCCTGGAATACTCCAATACATATCCGTTCTCGTTGGAAATATTTTAAAACGAAATCGATCAAACTTTTATTTTCGTTTCCATTTTTTACGATTGAAGAGAATTTAACAGATATTCAATGATTAACAAATCAAAAAGTTAAAAATTTGAAATTTTTTATTTTTAATCACTCTTTGGCAAATCTCTATTGAGTAGAATTTGATATTTTCATTTTGTTTCGTTTGTTCATATTAAAATTTAATTTTATGTTTCAATTTATTTATAAATTAGATCGATCCAAAAAACATTTCTTTATATTTTTATTTTTATAGGATTATATTTTACAATTATAATTGAAAAGAAATTTAGAGAAGGGGCTTATATAATGAAATGAAAATTAAATAAATTTTAATTTCAGATTTTTAAATATGACAAAAATAAAGGGAATGATATAATAATAATTATGATAAAAATAGCCGAATATTATTATACAATATACATATAAAGATTTAAATCACTAACTTAATAAATCAAGTAGAGGGAAAAAAATGAATTCATTATAAATAATTTTCTAAACTAAATAATTTTCAAAAAATCTAGTTTTGAAGATAATCTTTGTTTGAAATTCAGACGATAATAAGAAAAAAAGAAATAATGAAAATTAAAGAAATTAGAGAAAGTCGAGTGTGATGCTTAACCTCCAAAAAAAAATAAAGAATAAAAAAAATTCTATTTTGAGGCAGTGACGAGTCATACATAATGAAAAAGAAAAAGGTTAAGTACTAGTTACAATGGAAACAGTAACTTTTTTATGCAAACTGAATGTCATATATTCTACAAAGACGAATTATTACATCATGAGTACATCATGAGTTTGAAAAAAAAAAATCTTAAAAAAATTAAAAAAAAAAAAAAAAGAAGAATAAAGACTAAGAGAAAAAGAAGAAAAAATTTACAAAAAAGTGGAACACCGGGATTCGTCGATTGATTGACAGACGTAACATTATTTGTTAAATAAAAACAAAACTTTTTTTTATCATTTCTTATCAACAGGATAATATTGGATACCGTGAATATTTAATGTAATAGAAGATTTGGATGATCGATCAATTATAAATTATTCGACATTTGGAATTCAGCCTATTTGTTGATTCAACGAGGATAGTTATCGGTGACTAAAAAATATTGAAACAACATGGTTGAATCGTTGGCAGTGTTGGCACGAAGCGTAAATGAAACTCGCTAGAAAAGCTGAGCGCGTGATTGTAAAATATGAAACATGAGACTACTGTTTTGCATGATAGTGTTTTATATCGATTGATTTTTAAACTTGGAAACTTACCTATAATGTTTGAACTATTTAAAAAATCAGTGAATCGAACAATTTGATTGATGATTAAAGTTATATGATATTTTAAAAATTCTTATACACCTATATTATGTCATTTAAATATTACGGCAAATATATTAATATTATTATATAATATTTTATTTTATTATATTTCTTATTGCGTTTATTAAACATTATAGTATTAAATACTATATTTTTATAAATAGCACTTTTTTTTATAATATTTTCTATTGTGTAGCATGTTGTTAAATAATATAATATTAAAGTATTGAATATTATAATTTTTAATATATAATAATATTATATATTAAATATTATAATGTATTGAAATTATTATAATTTATTATAATTAATATAAATTATTTAGTTATGTTCTAGATATTAATTCGATAATACTATATAAAAAATATCACTATATCATTGTATTTTTTTATTTTTAATTTTTGATTATTTTTATCTTCTTTGTAATATTTTTATAATATGTTCAAATATCAAATGTTACAATTTTAAAAATTGTAAAATTGAAAATGAATTTTTTAGAAAAATATCTAAATATTTAATAATATTTAATAAAGACATGTTAATTTTTTTTTAATTGATATTTAAATTTATTTTATAAATTCAAATTATTCAATTCAATTGTTTTGAGTACTCTTAAGAAGAGATAGATTATAATTTAAAAAAAAAAATATTGCTCCAAATAATAAAAAATATAATTGTTTAGTTAATTATTCAGTGTATTTAATTATTTTCTAAGATATTATATTTTATTAAGTTTAGAGCTGAAAAATATTTTAATTGTTATAATCTCCGATGTTATATTTGTATTTCACTGTCACGCGCTTAACTTCACTTTATTAGATAACAAAAAATGCAAGATACGAAACACTGCAAAGAATTCTGTATGTCGATTATTTTCTTAGTATATATAATATATTAATTTGAACACACTACACCATTTTCAGGTATAAACATAAAGAATTTCTTATGAAGAATATAAAATTATATTTTTGCCAGATCTTTGACATGTAGGAAAAAAGCAATTTATAAAGTATCTATTTTTTAATTAAATTCCTGATGTTTTTTCATAATATCTAAATTATATTAGAAATGTTTCTAACTTTTTTCATTTTTGCTTAAAAAAAAATTGTAGTATGTTCCAATTAGGAATCAATCTATATATTCAATCATGTAAAATGTGAAGCTGTTCATTTTACAATTTAAGTCTTATCCTCGGTTAAAGTTCCACAAACATTCAGCGATTCTTCACGTTAAAAATATCGTGACTTAAATTCACTTGTCGAAAGTGTATTGTCCATGTACTCAAATTTCTGAATTATAAACAAGCAATGAATTGAGTCAAAACCGATTTTAGAAACATCTGCGGACTTTATCGAAGATTCACTGCCCGCACTGGATGTATACTACACTTATTCTCGACATAATAATCACAATGAAATCATTAATAGAAATATATACGCATGCACATATATATGCATATATATATATATATATATATATATATGAAGAAATTTAAGTAAACGAGCATCATTAAATCATCATGAGGACACCCGTGTTTTTAATGTTCTTGTGTAATAATATTATGTGTGTTGTCTGATGTCTATTTATCAAATAGAAGTCATATATTTTAACACGAAATTATTTCTCGAGAGCTGACGTGTCATCTCTAGAGATTATATCCTATCTAAATATATTTTATGCGCTAAATGTGTCGCTTGAAAAAAGCTGAGGATAGAAAAAAAAACGCGCCAGTGATGGCAGTAAACTTCATTTAGCATCGGTATCACTGTTGGTTCAATCATATTTAACGTGGACGACAATAGCAGGCGCGACTGAACTGAATTAGAACACCGATCAAGAGCTATTCCATTAATGCTAAGGTCAATTATGTACAAAAATTTGTTTTATATATTACACATGACGATTTTGATCCGTCGTTAGAACTATTCTCCGACAGATACCCGGCAGTTAAAGGAATGGTGTCGAGCGCTATTCCCTTAGGAGAGAACGTTGACCTCGCGCGGTGAACTACACACGTTTAACACGTTGCTTGTTGAGTTAGGCGTGATCTGACTTCGGGCCTCGTTCTGCGCTTGTCGTATCGCCTCCTTATATGGACCTCTTTTCTTTTTATTGTACCGCGTCTGAAACAAAAGCCAAATGATATTAATTATTAAACTGTTAATTGATTATTCTATTATAGTAACTAGTAAAAATTAATCAGAAATAATAATTTTTTTTTTAAATTAAAAAAATGCTTTAAATAATATATTAAATAGTTACCTTGAATGTTTCTAAAAATGGACTTAACTGGTCACACGACATAAGAGAACTAGTTGAAGAACCATACCAGGCGACATGAGCTTGTGGCCCAGATGATGTACCATCCTCTTTACAAGAAACTGTGATACTAAGGACCTAAAAGAATAAAACAAACATTCAAAATTATAACATTTATTTAAATTCAATGATTATATTAACAAATAATACAAAATAAAAGAATATATGATATAAAACAAATATTCAATATCTATAATATCCAATATATAATTTCATATTATTGTTGAAATATATTTCAATGCATACTTTTCCAGGCCACCAAGGAAATCCATGAATCTTTCCCCACACTACATCACCAACATCCATTCTTCTACCATTAGCAGTAAGACAATGTTCCACAGGAGTCGCGGCAAGACGCATCATCAAAGGATGAGACTGTGGCGGAAAATCTGGAGCAATCTCGCCGGCATCGACTTCAGGTTCCTGTTCACTTAGTTCATCACTACTGGCACCAGGACTTTTACAACCCGACGAAGAATTACTCACAGGATAATCACATCTAGCATAAGCGTTTGTATTCAATCTCTTCAGAGATATTGATAATTTTTGCTTCAGGCACTGCTCCTTTATGGCTGTGTACGATTCGCTACCAGGAAGAACATTCCAATTTTGTTGATTCTCAGTACTTCCAGGTTCCAAGCATGTTTGCTGTTGATGCTGCGATTGTTGGCTCTTGTGTTTGCGGTCTTCCTTGTGTTTTTTTTTATGTTTCACTTTATGTTTGCGACGGTGGTATGATAGCGTATCATATGTAGGATTATATCTATAACAAAAGATATATTATAATTAATATCATAATAAGCTATAATGAGAAATGTAAAATAAAATTATTAATATATGTGAAAGCAAAATTTTAGTTAGGTTATTAAATAATGAATGTTGTATAAATCAATATTATATTTCATTCATTTTGAAATTATTAAAAATTTGATCAATTATCAATTATCAATTTCATTTGCATACATTGCTGAATTCTTTTCTTTGTTTTTTCAAAATAATAATGTTTTTTCAAAACAATAATGTTTTTTTTTTAAATGCAATATGCAGAAACATGATTTACAGAATATATAGAAATTAAAATAAATTTATACAATAATGAAAACATATCAAATTATAGTTTTTGCTTTAACAATAAATTTTTATTTTAAATGTAAAAATCGTAATTCAAATAAAAAAATATATACTTATTTTATAATATAAAAAAATAAAATACTTATTTTATAATATAGTGGCTATAAAAAATAATCACATACCTGACATACATTATATTTATTATTGAATTTATACATAAATTTATTAAGTTCAAATATATTATATTTCATATTATTAGTAATATTTTCATATTAAAATTTTGATAGTATCATAAAAAAAAAATCATAAAAAAAAATATATATTATTATATATTTTTCATTGGGAAATAAAAATATGTGCAAATATCTTTTATAATTCTTATATATATTAAATGACAATTATGTCTGTACATAACTATTATCTAATATATACAGTAATAATTACTTTTTATTACATCCATAAAAGTATGAATCTATGACTATGCAATCCATTCATTATGCAATAATTATGCTAATATTTAACATAAGATAAAAGCAATAATTATTAATTAAATATGTATATATTTAATAAGCATTGTAGTACAATCAATAAATTTAGTACACATTATCAATAAATTTTCTAAATGAAATATTTATTAACAAAATCCATATTTTACCTTGGTGATCCATTGCAAGGAGATCTCGCAGGCGAAACACCACCGAGCATTTTCCTTCTGGCTTCTTTCTTAGCTTTCTTCAGTGCACGTTTCGCAGCTTTAGCACTTGCGTCCTTTACACCTTGCTTCTGAGGATCCACTTGCTCTTGTCCATCTTCTTCTCCATCTTCGCGATAATCATAATCATTATCAAAATTTCTCGGCAATTCTAGTGGATCTCTCTCCGTTTCCGTCTGCACATCCTCAGCATCATCAGTTTCTTGCTCATATTCCGGATCCTGGATTTTGGAAGGTATCTTCAGAACGGTTCCCTCGCCTTGAGCACCGAAAGAGATCTTAATCACTGGAGTGGTTCTCGCTGTTCTCGTTGGGTCTTCAAATACGGTCTCGTCCCATAAATCTTCCATAGATCCTACAGACCGTTTCTTTCGAGGTATACGACCCGTTCTCAGCCTCATCGTCGAATCAGCTGCCGCGAATGTTTTTTTCTCCTCTTCTTCCGGTATTTTAGCGCTTTCCACCGACGAACTACTAAGTCTCCTGGGTGTGGCGCAGTACGCCATTGATGGATTGCTGTCACAATCTGTCGATTCCATCCGCTCCTCCGTTGGTTCCGTGGCGTTAGCCGATGAATCGCCCTCATCAACTCTATTGTTCCAATAGGATGGACTAATTTTAACCTTTTCTATGGAAAAGAAAAAGAAAATGATATGAGATTTCAAGAATTTTATTATTATTTTAATTATTTAAATAAATTCATATATAAGTTTTGAAAAATTATCCATTATTATCTTCTAAAGTTCATATATTTATTTTAAAAGATTTGCATATGATCAATAATATTATCAATATCGATAAATATTTAATTAATAAATTCATTAAAAAATTTATTAATAATGGATTAAAAATATTATAGTAAAATTGTATGGAAAAAATTATTGTTCATATTTTTAACAGTATTATTAATCATGTGCAGACTGAAAAAAATAAATTATATAATATTCTTTGAGAGAAATCGGATTAAAATTTTATAAATCATATATCTATTCATATATAGATATTGTATAACAGTGTTTCTCAATTTCAATCAATATTGAATCGCATTAAATTTTTAATGAATCGTGTTAATAACAAACCATTAAATATTGCCTTCTATTATTTTCTTCATAATTTATAAAAGATATTTAAAAATACAATTCAATCTTTACTGATTTTTATAACTTTTTAAAATTTTTTAAATTTATTTTATTTACAATTGTTAGTTTTATATGTTTTCGTAGTTTGTAATTAATGTTAGAAAAAAATGTAAAATATTTACATACAAAAGTTATTTATCAAATTACACATAATTTTTTTTATACAATGATTCTAATTTATATTTTAATTTAAATATTTGAGTCGAAATATTATTACAAATAAATATATAGTAATATGTACTTTTTATTTTATTATTTATAATAATAATTTGTAATAATATTATATATTCATAACTCTCTAAATTGAAATTTCTTGATTTTCCACAACTATTTTTACTTTTTCTTGACGTAATAGTAGTTTTAAAATCATTCACTCATCACATCTTTTTATAACTATTACAACATACATGATAGGAACACTGTATAAATATAAAACGTCGTAATATTATGTCAAGGATAACTAATCACAAATTATGAAAAAATAATTTCACACTATTAGTTTGTAATATTAGGATATTATATTAGGATATTTGTTGATTTATTTTTTTTTTTATTTTTAATATAGCAGCAAACGCAGAAAAAATTAAATTGGATCCACATGGAAAATTAAGAGATTAATTAAAAGTAATTAGCAGTATTTCATGAAAAATCTTATTATCTACAAATGAACCTTACATAATTCAACCATCGAAGCCCAAGATAATTTTTAAAAGCACTTTTCTCGAACGCAATCTTCTACAAGATTAAGATCACATATTATAAAAAACCTTGTACAAAATGGATCAATATAATAAAACCATTATATAACATAAAAAAGTAAATGAAAAAAGTATACTATTTCATCAATTTGATATTGCTCTAAAACAGTATTTTTTTTTCAGTTTTCCCTCGTTTTATAATCAATTAACTGGAAAATCTTTTTTATAGTTATATAAAAAATAAAATTGTTGATAGAATAAAATATATGTAATATTTTACATTTAAAAGTATTTTTAGAAATAGTAATATTTTATTTTTAAACAATCTATTAATTATTTATATTATTATTAAAAATTATTTTTTCGTCCAATAATTTGCGGTTTTTCGCTCTTTTTTATATGTAAAAATACACTTTTGATAGGATAATTTTATTTTATTTTTAGAAGTGAATTAAGATAAATGGAAATTACATAATAAATACAAAGTAAGGATATTAAAAATCCATCGAATATAAATGTTTAATATATAACATAAAATGTTTAATATATATGATGAATCTTCAATATTTTTTTAATGTTTACTGTCATAAATCATAAATCATTTATTATATTTTTAGATAACAATATTAGATAGATATAATATTAGATAGATAGATACATTAGATAGATAAATACAATAATAGAATAGATAAGTATATTTTAGATAGACATAATAATTAAAAAAAATATTTGCAAATAAATTTATCTATATTAATATTTATATATTAATTAATTATATTTAAGTATATTATATTATAATTCTATAATATTCTCATTTTCATATTCTCAAATTTTACAAAAAAAATTTATGTTATAGAAATAAAATGTAAAATTGATTTTGAAAAGATTTTTTTGAAAAATAGGAATGTGGACAAATATTTAATTACTTTTTATATAATTATCTGCTAAAATAAATAAATATTGAAAATTATAGAATTTTTAAATATATTAATTTTTTAAAAAAGTAATTACAAATAAAAATAATTTTAAAAACCATTCGATATCTTTATATTAAATCATTCATAATTCTGATTTAAATTTTATAACATATATCATTGTTTAATAACATGTCAAGGAAGTATATTATAATTTATTGTAATTTATTGTAATTCTCAAAATATTTAAAAAATGCAAACTATTATATTATCAATTACTAATTCATGAAAATAATGAATTTAAGAAACAATATATGGTTTATCATACGTCTACTATATTCTAATATATCATTATTTAATATGTGAAGGAAGTAGCATATTATAATTTATTCCTTAAAATATCAATGCAAATGATTACATTATTAACTACATTAATATCAATTAATTCGTGAAATTAATGACTTTGAAAAGAAAAAGATTGTTTATTGATTATATTTATAATATTATATCTTAATATATCATTATTTAATAATATATGAAGAAAATAGTGTCCTCAGAACATCAATACAAACTAAAACATCAATTAATTCATAAAAGTGATGAATTTTGGAAAGAAAAAAATTATTTAGTGATCATCTATCATATTTATAACATCCTGATATATTATTTTTTTTTTATATCTTTTAATATCTAAGATTGGAACTAAAAATAATATAAGAAAATAATAGTCCATGCATCAGTAGAGAATAATTTTTGAATATATTTACATAAAAATTATATAAAGATAAAAAATATAAAAAAGTTGTAAATAATTAATTTTTTTCTTATATTTTATCAATTATGTATATGAATTACTAAATGAATTACGTATCAAATGAATTGTGTTACGTGATCACTTTAAATAATTCATAAATAACATATGAAGGTATATTATAATTTATTCTAACCCTTAGATTATCAATGCAAACTACTACATCATTAATTATAGTAACAATTAATTTATGAGAAAAAAAAATTATTTATTGATCATGAAATATAGCAAATTTTTTGATTAAATAGCGCAAAAAAAAAAAAAATATCATTTAAATATTAATCCTTATAAATTCTTTTTCTTATATAGACTATTTTCCTAAATTGATTTTATTTTATCATTCATTTATCGATTTAATATATTATTCAATATATTTATTAACAAATATACAAATATTACAAATATACTGAATCATATAACGTGACTGCTTCAAATAAATTTAACTCGTAAATTATTTGTTACGTGAAAAAATATTTCATAAAAGTTGTATAGTATAAAAGGGGAAACAATTTGATGTTATTCATTTCTTGCAAATAGATATACATATACATATTGATTATTTTTTAAAGAAATAATCATGTATTTTTTAATATACTAATCATGATTATTATTCCCTATAATAATAATGATTATTATTTCCTATAAAAAATTATTTAAAATTATTTATAAATTAAATAAATATAAATAAATTTAAAAAATTGTTTGATTTAGAATATTTTAATTTGAATTTTGTAAAATATGCAAGATAAAAAAAATTAAATATATTATCATTTTTCATCTTAGATAATTTTTTAAAATAATAATTTTTTCCTATAAATAATAAAAAGTATCATTTTTATCATAATTTTTTTGAATAATCTGATTAATCTTTACAAGATATATGATTTAAAAATTAAAAAACAAATGTAACTTTCATATGTCCTCTATTTGCAAAAAAATGAATAATATCACATTATCTCTTCGTTCACACTTTACAATTTTTTTATATTAAACATTTTTTCAAGAAATAATTTATGAATTATTTAAAGTGATTATATAAGATTATTCATCTGATACGTAATTCACGTAATACGTAATTCATATAGATAATTGCTAAAAGATAAGAAAAAAAATTAATTTTAAAATTAATAAAAAATTAATCATTTACAGCTTTTTATTTTATATTTTTTTATCTTTATTTAATTTTTATGCAAATATATTCAAAAAGAAAATATATATTTTTTGAACTGATCTATAAATTGTTATTTTCCTATGTTGTTTTTTCAATCTATTGGTCTCAGAAGATATAAAAAAAATTCGCAAATGATTTATTTATTTCTTAATCTTATTTCAAACAAACAATGGACAAGATGCAAAAGAGCATATAACTTTATTGCATCAAAACCATCATCTTTCTTTCATCAAGAAATTCGATAATCGTTTGAAAAATAGAACAGAGTTATTAAAAGTATAGAATAAATTTTAAATTTTCAAAGAATAAAATTTATATAGTTTCTTTTTAAATGATTGATTTTATTCTAAAAAAAAAAAAAAAAAAAAATATCGAATTATCTCCTAGACCTGATATAGTATTTTGTTCGAATGTAATGAATAAGAACTGACCGTTTGCTTGTATGGCGTTGTTGATCTCGTTCGGTTGCAGTCTCGAAATTTTAGGGATGAGAGATGGTCCAAGCTTCGACGAATCGGGACTGAGAGCTGTGGATGACGAGGATTTGGCCGTTTGGTGAGATGACACCGTAATGTTCTCGGTCTGACACTCGGAGAACAGTACTCTCGAAGCTTTTTGCGGCTGCTGACCGCAACGTCGATCGCTTCTTCGAGTGGATCCATGGCCCGTGACCTAATCGAATCGAAACATCATTCGTTTTTATCGATGCGTGAAAAATCGACTGAGAACCGGTCCATTTGTAATTCCACATCTGGTTTCGAATTGAAAAATTTTATTCTATCTAAAATATAGATCTTAAAAAAAAGTTATACTTTGAAAATGAAAAAAAAATATTATTTAATGTACAAAACGTTAATATTGCAATATTTACATCTGTCATTTGTTGCATTTTATATGAAATTGTATGTATGAAATAATTTGTTTACAATATCAATATTTATTTTATCAATATCAATATTTTTTTTATCATAAATTATTACATAAAAAGATTACATTAAAAGATTCTTTGGATATATTATTTCTATTAAATTTCTTTTAATTAATTAATTCCTTAAAACTTATTTAGATGATTCATAAATTATACATTTGTGACGATTGATAATAAAATTTTATCTTTATTATGCTTCCTGTTAGAGATAGTGAATTTCATCTTTAACTTCTAACAGTTCACGATAAAGCAAAATGTAATTCAAATTCCTAATATTTTAATATGTAAATATGCAAATTACGTAAATTAAACTTGAATAAATATTACATACAGATATGTTGCAATCTTAATAAATACCAAGAAAACTTAATCTGTTGCAATCTTAATAAATACCAAGAAAACTTAATCTGTTGCAATCTATCAACATGTGATTGCAAAAAATCATTTAATTATAAATAAACAATAATTACAAATAAAATATGATAATTAAAGAAGAAAGTAAAAGAGAATGTAAGTTAAAAAAGAAAAGAAATCTAAGAAAATTATAAAAAATATTTTTAAAAATATTACAAAGAAAAATATTCCAATTGTAAAAAATCTTCAAAAAAGAAAGTCTCATCGATATAACTGTCTTTTAAAACAAATATTATTCAATATAAATTTATCATAATTCAACATTTTGAAATATTATCGTAATAATTTTCTTTCAAAATATTTTCAAAAAATCCCAAAGAGTTTGAAAAATATTTCTAAAAAAAAATCGCAAAGAATTCAAAAAAGAATTTTTAAAAAATATCTTCCATCTATTTTAAAGAATACTATTCGATATATTATATCGATATATTATATATTATATATTATTTCGAGTTAAATTTATCACGACAAAACAAAATTTTCGTTAAAATTTCAAACATAAGTCACGGCATTAAGAATATATATTCATCCGACACCGAGTCAAGAAACAGTATCTTCTACTACACAATCTGCAAACACGTATAAGACAAGATGAAAACGTCGGTATTAAATGTACCATTAGAACACTTTGTGTTAAAGTAGGAAGAACTTGCGAGACAACTTGCTCATGCAAGAATCAAACTGGTATTCGCACAATGTAAGTGGGCCTCTCAAGACAACGCGTTAAGCTACTTTTCCTCTAGTTCAAAATCGTATGACTTTCTTCCATAGTCTGGCGTGTTCTCATTCGACCAAGTTTCCTCCAACCCAATTTGCTCGTCCCTACTCGAAGTTTCGCCACTTTGAGACCTGAAACTTTCCACGACCACGTGTCATATTTGACGGTTTTTAACCATCGAAGCATCATAACAATAAACTTCATTATAAAGTATGATTGAAGTTGTGCAAGTTCGATTTACGTGCTTTTCAATCATCAATTTATACAGGATGGTACACAAATTATTAAAACGAATTTAACGATTGCGTAAATAATGATTTTAATGAAAATTAAATAATATTTATTATATTTAATATTTTTAAAAGTTGTATTATAAGAGTTGGAAATATTCAGATTCGATTTCTTTAAAATCATGATTTTTATATTATGTCATTATTGCAATAAATAAATAATATGAAAATCAATTTTTAAACTGAAAATATGTTTATAAATATTTGATAATTTTTCATAAAAAAAGTATTAACATTGTTCATAAATAAAGATATCATTAAGTTAAAAGATATTTAAGAAGATATTTAGAAGATTATATTTTTATGTTATTTATTTAAATTTTGCAAAACTTATTGTATGAAAGACAAGCAAAATATGAAGATAATGTATCATTTCGTGTTTCTTATTTTTCTTATAAGTTTTGGAAAATTCAAGTTTAAAATTTTTTTAAATATTATAATTTTTAATTAATAAATTATTTTTTTAAAAAGAATTATATGTAAGCAACTAACATAATAAAAAAAAATTTTATTTAAAAAAAACGTATAATCTTTGAATATTCTCTATGCATTCAATTATAAAAAAAATTAAAACTATTTACATCAAATATATATTAATATATTATATATTTATTAATATATTCATAGATCTTTGCAGAGTTAATTCAAAAGTTTGTATATAAAAATGTCGATGTAGACTTATTTATTATAATTATAAAATGAAGAGAGACAGATAGAATGAGACATTCTATTTTTGTTGCAATATCACTCTGTTTCTTGCTTTATCTAACATAAATATTAATTACTTATAATTTGATAAATAGAATTTTTGTTGTAACATTTTTTTTTTGATTAACTTTTTTTGATTTCTAGAATCGATATTTTAAAGATGTATTAAAAATATATTATCATTTTGTATTAATGATTTATAATTGATTTGTATTGATGATACACAAATATTTTATGTCTATTTTTAGTTTTCTGAAAAAAATAAATTTAATGATTTAATATTCTATAGAAATTCAGAAATATATAAATATATAAATGAATAAAAATGAAATAAAATTTTAATAAATTTATGTAAATATATGTGTAGTATGTTTGATTTATTATTTTTTAATATTATTTATTATTATTGAAAATTGAAATTAATAATTTATTAATTTATAATGTAAATATTTAAAATAAATATAAATGTAATTTTTATAGTGTATAAAAAAATATTAAAATTTTATAATGTATAAAAAAATAATCAAGAACAATTTTTTAAATATAAAAATTCAAATTCCAAATAAATGGACATATAATATCTTTGCAATATCTAAGCCATTAATATGTTTTGTTATTTTTATTAGTTATTATTATAGTAAATTATCGTTACTGTTATTATTACTTTTATTATGAAAATATATTATATAAATTATATAATATAAATTTAAATAGAGAAATATAAATAAAAATATAAATAAAAAAAATTTAAAAAATTAATATTATACGTATATTTTTATATGAAAGTCGAAAGAAAATACTAATTAACAGATAATCCTAACTAATTAACAATTAATCAATTATTAAATCATTTATTGTGTTCTAAATAAATAAAAGTTAAATATCGATACTGATTTCTAATAATATAAAATAATATAATAATATAAAATAATAATAATATAAAATCATGTAATAAGAAGTTTTTATCTTTAAAAAAAAATAATTTCGTAATATCAATTTTGAATTTACTATATACTAAATATATAACTATATACTATATACTATACCATATACTATATAATAAATACATATATTTATTATATACATTTACATATATGCTAAATATTTACATAATTATACAAAAAGAATTAAGAATATTGAGAAAATAAATCATCACATGCAAAACATCCAATACTCTTCACGTATTAACAAACAAGAGAACATGTTGTAGAAATAAAATGTTATACACTCCACTCCACATACACTCCACAATCTTTTCTTATCAGCCTCACAATAAGAAGGAAATATTACCTGCTGCTGCTGAGGCTGCTGTTGTTCCTGCTGAATCTCGTCGTGTTTCCGTTTTCTGCTGACATCCACATTCTCACTGTTCTCGTTGCAGATCGATCTACACTTGCTGCAAAGCACCTGGCGCGGCCTCAACCTGACCGTTGGCCGCGCATTCTTGTACCTGGCCGGTGGATTGATGTTCCTACGAAGATCGACTTTCGCAGCGGTCAACGTGCTCTTCCTCTCTTGGAAATAGCTGAATCGGGCCGCGATTGTCGCCAATTTGTCCCCATCAGGATCCGGTACTGGTTCAGGGGGTTGTACGCCGCACGGTAGGCCTCTGTAAATTACCAAACGATTATTAATTAATATTTGGCCGATCATTGAAAGTTAATTGGCTTGGATTGATGTTATTTGCAAATCGAAATGATCGAATATTAAATAAAATAATTTGATTTTCGAAAAATTAATACTCGAAGAAGTATACGTAGGAAAGGAAATATAAAGAGATAAAAGTATCTTACGGAATTTTTAAAAATTTATTTTAAAACTATACTAGCAATATTGAACGATCTCGTTTAATTATTAATTAATTAATATTAAGGAATTTAAATAAACAGGGATTATTTTGTCTTGATATTTTTGAAAAGCTAGTTTTTTTTACTTATATACAGTTAAAAGGTCAATTTTAAAGGCTAAAACAAATACAAAAGTTGGAATACAAAAATATCGGTTGAGATTTATTTATTAAATTCACGTTAGATGAAGCGAGATAGGAATAAAGTGTTGATATAATAGAGACAAAATAATTTCCGTCATACTTTATTCAACGCAAACTTTAATTACTTATAAAATAACTTAAAAATAATCCTTAACTTTTTTATATACTAATTTTTGCATTTGTTTTGACGAATTTAGAATCTAGAATCGCCAGAAGTGTGCCAAGAATATATTAACATCCTATATAGTAAGATATTCAAACAAGATATTGTTCAAATTTTCTATTAATTTCATAATTTCAATTTAAAATATTTGAAGATTTTTAAAGAAATTTTTCTCAAACTTTTTCAGACTTTTATTTGTTAAAAATAAATAAATAAATAAATATCAGTCATAAATGATCGTCGTTTAAAATTTCATATAATTGTAAAAACATGTAATAAAAGTTAATTCAAAATTAAAAAGAAATTGCAGAAAAAACTTTTTAATTATGGGAGTCTCATTTATCTCAGTTAAAATTTTAAGAATTAAGTATTAATTATATATTCTATTATCTACTAAAATTTATTAAAATTTCTTAAAATTAAGAAATTAAACTGTATTTATTATAATTAAAATACTACTTTATAGATGATAATTATTAAAAAATAATGTAATAAATGAAAATATGATAAATAAATAAATAAATATCAGTGATAGGAAATATGCTAAGAATATATGGAATATATGGAATATATGTATATTATGTGAAAACAAAAATATAATTATAATTACATTATAATTACATAATAAAAGAATGTAGAGAGTATAAAGCAGAAGGTACGAACAGAGAGTACATAACATGTCTGGAAAAATGTTAAAACTAATTAGTAAAAGAATAAAGAAAAAGAAAGATGAACAAAAGAACGAAAAAAAATATAAAGATAATTAATTTACAATAAATTATTATGTTATATAATAATATACATTTTTAATTTTTTATTAACTCATAAAAGCATCGTATTTATTTTATGAATGGAACGTTATATATGTTTATAATGAACGTCTGAATTATTTCCAGTGATGTTTTAAACAACTTCCATTTGAAATTTGTATGCACAGTAATAGTAATATAATTGCGGTAAATACAGTTGGTATTCATATCAGTTTTTGGTACTATTAAAGGATTATGCGACAATTTGAAGTTTTTTTTCTAAATACATATATAATTTAGATAAAAATCAATTCAACAAATAATTAATTTTTTTATAAAAATAATAATAAATCAGAAATTAGATAACAGAAAAATGTTTACAATAATAGAAAATTTAATTTTTATAGAATAGAAATTGGATATTCAATAAAAACATTTTTCTATTATTTATATAATAATAAAGAATATTTTATACCACAATATTTCATTTAAAAAGAAAAGCAGTCAAATTGTTTAATAATATTTCCCATATTTTATATTTAAATATAATCAATTTTTTCTGTAATAAAAATTCTCAACTTCAATGAATTCCAACTTTATTATTTGTATAATAAGAAAGAATATTTTATCTCGATATTTAATTTAAAAAGTATATTATAGAGAGTAAAAAATATATATAATATATTTGAAATGTTTAATAATATTAATATTTATTTTATATCAATTTTATATCAGCCGTATAATAAGTAGTTAATATTTAATTATAGAAAATCGATATCGATTGCATTATTATATTGGAAGGAACGATATTCCTTCTATTTCATCAAAGTTCTATTTCTTTTTCGTAGGATTTTATTTTATTTCGTGAGTAGGATTCAGTGTATGGGTGGAAGAAGAGGAATCGATTGGGCGAGTCGGTGGACTGGGAATTCGAACGCCACGTTGCTGGATATCTGGGTCATTGACAGACTGTTTCCTTTTAAGCTTAACAGTTTAACGTATCGAGCTATTTATGCTAGATTGATAAACATGGTATAGATTGATAATCTTATATTTTTAAGAATAGAATTATATTTTTAAGAAGAATAACAAAAGAGATTATGGAATATAGATTAATAGAAAAAATAAAGAAATAAAAAGAAAAAAATGGGAGAAAATTGGAAGGAGAAATTGAAAAATTAAAGAAAAATTAGAGAAAATAAGAAAAAATAAGAGAAAATAAGAAAAGATTTTTTTACAATTTTCAAAACTATTTTCGAATAATGAACCGTGCAGTATATTCATATTTTATTTTTAGAAATAATTTTAATGAAAATTTTAGAATCTAAAATTATGAAAATATACCCAAGAAAAAATTGGAATGAAAAATTGGAAAATTAAAGAAAAAAATCAAAAGAAAATTGAAAAATAATAAAAAAGAAAAGATTTTAAAACTATGAAAGTTTTTATTTTATTATTTAGAAGATTTGATTTTTTTTTATTTTCTCATTCTAATAAGTTAATATTAGAATTAAAACAACATGTCAAAATGATGATTTTGAATTTCTTATGATTACTGAAAATATAATAAAGTACTGTTGAAAGATTCATATAGATTCGAATAGAGAATAGTTATTACATGTGCCAATTTATTTTCTTCGTAACATTCTAATTTTGTTCGTCAAGATGAAATATACTTAAATATATAGATATACACTTAAATTTTGGTACGTATTTATAATGTAAATACAAATGTATCATATATGAAATATATAGATTAATGATTTAACAATTTTCGAAAATAGTTATAGCTGAGTTGAAAATGAATTATAAAATGGACAAATATTTCAACGATATTCGAATAAATTTTAATAAAATAATTTTATTGAATTAAATTTTTTCAAATAAATTTTAATAAAATTAAATATTTAGTAAATTTAAATATATAAATTATTTACTTTTAGTCTATACTCAGTTTGTATAATAGATATTCTTTTTAGAAATAATTTGAATGGATTTTATTATTCCTGAAAATTTTAAATATTTTAAAAAATATATGAAAATTCTATTTCTAAGAATAAAATAATATATATTTATATAATCAAAGAAATAAACAAAAAACAATTAATTGTCTTTTTCATTGTATTTAGTAGAATATTGTTTTTCTAAATGAATATCCTATTTTAATAATTTTTTTTAAGATTTTTTTTTATTTTTAAGATAAATAATAAATAATAGTTTAATTTATACTTATATCAGAAAAGAGATCAAAAAATTAAACTAGATATCATGAATCTCTTCAAAAATCAAATAGTATCAAAAAATTTTTAAGTTTCAAGATTTGAAATTTTTTTGAGCAAATTAAAAAATTGCTAAATATTTATTGTTATTATAAACTTAAATAATAGAATTTTAAAAATCAAAATTTATAAAAATTTTATTTCTTGATAAATGAACGAATTTTTAGAAAAGAAAAAAAAACTCTATAAAAGAGAGAAAAACTTGAAAAATGAAACACGAATAAGAAAAATATTCGAATACTCGTGATATCATAAAGTTTCAAATTCGAATTTCACAAATCTAAAAATTTGGTTTTGATCTATCTCCGATAAAAATTTCCAGTTTTCATGTTTTTCAAAATGCTAAATTGAACATTTAATTAAGGAAATAAAGACAGAATAAGCTTCAATATCTTTATTTGCCAGACAATTCGATTAATTATTAACCCCTTCAGATTTGTCTAGAAATTCTTTTTCCTTAATCCTGATATTTGAATAGATTTACCATTTTGAATAGATTGATGAACGTTGAGTCGATGATTAATGAGGACGTGAAAAGGCGAAAACTTGATTATATCCAAGACAAGTCTTACGACATATTATGTACCAAGAGTAATTTGAAGAAGCATTACACCGAGAGATTAATTTTAACAACATGTTTCAACTTTTCCTTATAACGATTCGTTGAAATCGTGGTTTCTTATTTTCTCCTTGACGGAATGTGAGTCATTAAGATATTTGTCACTGAGTGATGAAACAAGAACGTATGAACAACTGTTTGAGAACTTGTTGAAGAACACTTTCATGCATAATATCAACATCTATTAAATTGCTTATTTGAGTCTATCTTGATATTCATTATGAAAGGGATAAATAAATAAATATATACATATATATTTTTTTTTCTTCCGTAAAACAGATGTTAAATTTTAATATATTATGTCTTGTTTATAAAAATATTATTAAAAAAATATTTTCTTATTATAAATAATTGAAAGATAGCCAATAAATGCATTTATTACTTTTTGTGAATGCAAATGCTATTATCATAATGATATCAAAATTACAGTTAAGTAAAATTAAATTAAGTTCTAATATATACAATATTCAATTACTAATAACATTTTCATAAAATAATATTTTTTTTATTTATATATATATAAATTATTTATGTATATATATATATATATATATATTAATTTATAATTTCATTTGGTATCCTCGACTTATTATGCATTATTTGTATTTGATAAATTTAACAATATTAATATTTTTTCAAATCATATATTTAATTATAATCTATTTATTTTTATTTATTTATAATTTCAAATAAGAATTTGTAGCTTTTATTATTAGCTAAAAGTATTTAAAAATTTTTTTAAAATGATATCAATTGTTGAAAATGAACTATGAACTATAATTATTTTTTATTTAATCGCTATAGATTAT